ACTGTCATCTACGAAGCCTTGGCAAGGTCGGCAGGAAATGGCCCTCAAGAAAGAAAGTTATTTCCTAACCACTCTTGTCCTGTGAGAGCACAGGGTTCGAAGCACCACAGTTCTTCCGAGTAGCAACGGCCTAGTTCAGTTTTACCAAGACATGTTTCACTCGTTGGTGCAGCAACTAGTAACCGGATCCAATATGATACAATGAACAGAGCAGCAGCAGGAGCACAACAGCATTTTTGGTTTGAGATGGTTTGGCACATCCGCTTAAAGAGAATGTAGGATGCAATATCAACATTGAAAAAACAAATACAGTGTGTTTCATCAACAAGGCCTGCAAGGACTCTGCAAAGACTCCTAAGCAAGGAGGCCCAAGACAATTCGGGGCCGGTAATCCTGCAGCGTGCCATTTCACAGCAGCTTGACTGTGACGGTTGAGTCCTCGATGCCGTTGAGAGCAAAGAATGCAAAACAGAAGGGTATTGCGCATGGAACCTGTCCAGCTTAATGATGCAAATTGATGCAATATGCAAGTGAAGGAAGTGAAGCTTGGGGTGGCCAAGCCACACACTTGAGAAGGTTGCTGCGTGGAGCGCGATTTCAGGCTGCTTCGTGGTGTGCATTAGCCCTTTAGAGTTACTGCAGATTAGACCTTGACTGAAAAAAGGTGCAAAGTCGGACGAACAGAATTGTTGTAACAAATCATGGTTTAAACAATTGAGAGCAGGTACACATTCAGGCGTCCCTGAATGCTTCCACCAGTCTTCTGTAGCTTCGTTGAGCAACGTAAGAAGACTGGCCGTTGCCCCCCTGCTGCTGTACAGTGGTCAGGAAAATCATAGGGTAGGTTAGAAAGAGTTAGGGTAGTGTCCTTGGAAACAGGAGTGGACACACACACACACACAAAAAAAAATAAGAGTCATAATAATAAGATTGCGACATTGTTGGCAGAAACTTGCGGCCAAACCCTTCTGCTTTTGGGCATGCCTGTGCCATTGCCCAACCAGAATGCTCAAAAATACATAACCTCGTTGCTATTACTGCTTTGTCTCGGTGCAATTGCGAGATTATTTTCGTCACACCTCCGAAACCAATGGGCATGTTCTTTGGCTCAAGATTGATTTGGTGCTTGCATGTTGGACATGCTGAAAAGATTGTTTGGCCAACTTCAGGAATGCAAAATCCGACACATGCAGACAACAAAAAGACAAACCGAGTGTACCAGGTGTTGGATTGCCGCGCAACAAATTCAAACATACCGTACACTGCACATGTTCAATGGGAAAGTCACGCAGCAGCGCGCCGCAAGGCCAAAACCAATAGTACCAACCGAGCTGGGAGACTGGACAATGGAATCCATGGAGCCCGGAGGTCACCAAAGTGGGGACCCTTCAGGAGCCGAAGAGACAAGGTCCAGGGATTCAGGGACAAGACCAAAAAGGGATGACAATGTTTTAAGAACAATACCAAGTTCAATGTGCCAATATGTGCCATATCACGTTCAATGTCTTTGTGTCTTTTTGTGAATTGCAGGCCTCCCTTGATAAATCCGCCGCCTCCACCTCAAGCACCATTTGCGGACGCAAACGCAGAAGGCTGGTGTCAGTTTTGCGTGATGAGCTTATCGTTATAAGTCGTCCGTGATATGTTTGCAGCTACAGGCTCGACGATTCAGCCCAACGTAGAGCTTCAGGGCAAGGACTGGACGCCAAAATGGCACCACATTTCAACGGACAGAGCACATTATGGTGAAACATTAGCTCCCATGGCGAAGGTCAAAGCATGGAAAGAGGAAAAGGGGTTTGGATTCCTCATCGCTGACGATGGGACTGAAGTGTCTCAAACTCATTTGTGTCCTTGTGCCACCTGGGCTTCACTTTGCTGGCGAACCCAGGTTCGTCCACCGAAACCAGCTGGTGGATGGACAAGCTGCCACGTTTGAATCACAAATCATACAAGACTGCCCTTTGCTGCCTCATGTGTTTGGCTTGTTTTGGCTTTCCTACAAAGCAGAAGTTTCAGGCAGGGACCTGGAACTGGGTGCCGCGGTGGTTTTTGAGGCCGCAGCAGAGGGAACCTGCATGGCATTGCGTTTTTAAGGATGCGAAATCATGCTAAAGTGCGTTTTGGCATTGCATTGTGTGCACTATACTGATACAGCGACATACTGCAGGCACTTCAAACTTGAATCAAAGCTGGGTTTTCAACTGCTGTACTCATATCGAATCGCTGTGAAAGCATTGATGCTGGTGCAGCGGAGGCCCGGTTCAATGCTCAACGAGTGCCGCTTGAACGCATGCCCTTGGCAGTTTCCTGGCCGTTTCGGCAGCGGCCGACATTCCAGGAAATGGGAATGCACAAAGTGTTCTGGCGCAATAGGACCCTTGCAATTGCCTCAGAATTTTGGCCCAGCACTTGTCCCAATTTTCTCATGTGGTCCGGCCAGAGCCAAGGCCAGATGGTCAAGCCCGGCAAGGTCGCACGAGCAGAGTGAAATGTGAGTCGAAGGTTTGTTTCAATGTCCATCGAGGCGGAGGCATGGACATGGCCAACAACTTGTTTGTAGGCGGACTCCCTCTGGACTGGTCCTCGAAAGGTCATCTTGAGTGTGCTAGCTAGCGGCAAGTGCATTGGGCCGGAGTACGCACACCCACATTTAAGGACATCACGGAGGAATTGCTCTACACCGTGTTTGGCCAGTATGGAATTGTCAAGCAGTTGAAGGCTGCTCAGTTGCACAGAGAGGCACGTCATCCAAGCACTGATGATGCAGGTGCTGCCTGACAATGGAAAAGGCGACAGGGCAGCGCTAGTGAGGACCAAGTTGTGATTGTGCTACCATCCGATTTCAGAGAATAATTCTGGTTTACAGTTCCTGCAAGGATGGCAGATCCAAGCGTCGCCCAATGGCTAGTCAGCAACATGAATGGCAACATCCCCCAAGGCGTGGAGAGAAGGAGAGAGAGGGAGAAACTCAAAACAGAGATTCCACAACAAATCCTCTACATTAGTCACTAGTCCTTCGCCCACTGAGCACTTAGGCATGAGCCAATCTGTGGTGGTAATGTTCTCCAAGAGCCAGCCCGTTCAACACCTGGAATCGCAGATCTTACAACATTGAGACGCAATTGCAGTGTTACTTGACACTTCAAAGAGTCCAATGAACCTACAGTAAAGGGTCCAAAACGCTCCTGTCATCGATTGAAAATCCGCATATGTCCAAATGACCAAGGGCAGAGGCGGCTATGGGTGTGTGCCCTAATCACCACCTTGTGTTGTCAATGATCATTTGCGGCAAGTGGCTATTTTGCCCACTGCAGTGCTACTGCATATTATTCTTTCGCCCAGGCCACAGCAAGGACTTTACGCGGCGGACATGAGGTTCAATCCATATGGTGTCCACCTCAGCATCCTGTATGCAGTTGTGAATGTACGGGGGTGGTGTCCAGCTGCCTTACTTTCAGCCGGGCAGGACAAATGCAGCCGCAAATGATGCAAGTGCACCCCCAGATGCAGATGCAAATGCAGCCACAGATGCAAATGCAGATGCAAATGCAGATGCAGCCCCAGTTGCAGATGCAGCCTCAGATGCAGATGCAGATGCAGCCTCACATGCAGATGCAGCCCCAGATGCAGATGCAGCAGCCTGAGATGCAGCTGCAGCAGCAAATGCAGATGCAGCCCCAGATGCAGATGCAGCCCCAGATGCAGATGCAGCCTCAAATGCAGATGCAGCCCCAGATGCAGATGCAGCCTCAAATGCAGATGCAGCCTCAGATGCAGATGCAGAACCAGATGCAGATGCAGCCCCAGATGCAGATGCAGCCTCAGATGCAGATGCAGCCTCAGATGCAGATGCAGCCCCAGATGCAGATGCAGCCACAGATGCAGATGCAGTCTCAGATGCAAATGCAGCCGCAACTGCAGCAAATGGGCCAGCCCCAATTCCAGCAGCAATTGGACCAGCAGCAGTATTGTCAGCAACAAGTGCCGCTTCAGCAATGCGATCCACAGTTGCAGTGGCAGCAACACCAGACTCAGCAAATGTCCCAACAACTCACTCATCCGCAACAACAAATTCAAGAACCACAGCAACAATTCCAAGCTCAAAGCCCCCAAAGCCAAGCGACACAAGAACCTCAAGCCCAACACGCTCAACCGCCACAACCCACGCAGGACTTTCTGCAGCAACAGCAACCTTCAACAAGTACTGCACCTCCGATATTGCAGCAGAGTCAGGATATGCACAGCGCCATGGCGCAGCATTCTCAATCAGGCACCCAGATGCAAGAGCACCAGCCGCTCAATGAGCAGCTAGAGCAACGCGGACTGCAAGAGGCGCAAAAGGTAGAGATGCTGAGCTCGCCGCAGGAGCAGCTGCAACAGCAGTCGCAGCAGCAAGCAAACCAGCCACATGTGCCAGAGAGGCAAGTGCAAGATCACGGTGAAAATGGCATAGACAGAACGGCAGCGGAACCGCTACAGGCGGTGCTTTCTGCGCCCGACCTGCCCAAGATGCCACACCAAGATCCAGCCACGCCAGTTCAGGCGAACTAAAGCAGCTAGGCCGGGTCAAGTTTAACTTGATGAGAGGACGGTCATGAATGGTCAAATTGGCCTACATTTTGTGGAAGCATTGTATAGGCAAGGCATGTTTTTCCAGTGCGCAAAACTGCAAAACAGACACGAGTCCGGCTTTTCTTTATGTCGACTCTTTCCTACAAAGGCGTCAGCTTGAAGATCAAGTGAATATGTGCCTTTGACCAGTCTCCGAAGCAGCATGCTAATTTGATCAATAGCTTGGGGAGCCCTGGACGCAACACATCACTGTAAATGATTGGGGGTTGCGTTGCCAACGACATCCAACGACTGTCATATTTTGTTGTATTTGTTTGTTCTGTTTTGGCATGCTGCGATTATTGTACAAAGCAAGAGGCAACTTGCACTAGATGAGACGGCTGGAAAAAGACATGGAATTATATATATATATAAGTCTAGTGAATTTGCATGAATGTGTGGCCAAGCGTTTGCAAGTCTGTGCACATGAGCGCATGAGCACATGCATGTTACATGTTCAACATCCTTAAGCCTGCGGCCGAACCGCAGCCAAATCAAGAGAGCTTGCACTCGTGGCGCTTGTGCTTGTCTCGGTTGATGGACAATTGACTCTTACTTTGCAGTGCTTTGCTATGTTCTCCTGCAATGGAGTCTTCCATAGCTTTGTTCAGTCTGACTTGCCCTGACTTGCAAGGTCGATTCTCGGATGATGCGATCTGTTCCCGACCACAATCATATTCGAGCCTGGCACTAAGCTGATGCTTACGGCAACTAAGCACATTTAGCCGCATGACCACCAGTGCCTTGGTTAGATTCTTGCACTAAGTCGGCACATCTGAACCTGCTGCCTATGCCCATGCAGCCACAGGCCTGAACAATGTCACACCAGCTCATAAGAGTGCCGGCGCCGTCCAGAAGAGAGTATACAAAACAGGATGAGTTATATAGCTAGATTTTGGCATCTTCAATTTGTGAATTGCAGGTGCGTCAGCCACGGCGCAACGGAGTGCTTGGAGATATCACCAACACTGGGCCACTCACTACTGCTGGACTGGGCCTTGCCTTGTTGCACATGGGGGAGAGAGAAAGAGAGGGAGAGGGGCACGATTAGAGAGACAGAGACAGGTGTCAAAGTCTTGGGATCTGAGAAGCCAAGCCTTCCTTCATTTGCCGCTTGGACCGCTAGGCGGTACGTTACAGCCTTGTCACAGGAAATAGGCTATCATGACCAGAGGGGAATTGACAAAGGGCCTCAATGGGGCTTCTGGGCGATTTCGTGAATTCATGGGAATTCTAGGCCAGATGTAGTCGGAGGCCGTAGTTCAGTGCGACTTGATGTAAACTTGTTAAGTTATGATTTGGCCAATGCAACTTGTATTTGAGCCATGCCAATGATAGGTCTCCTGCTAGTCGGCTAAGTATTGCCGTTCTTGGAAGTCCAACTTTGGCCTGCTGGCTTATCAAGTTCCATCATGCAAACGTGGGCTCATGTGCATCAGTCAAAGGATGGATAGCTGGCAATTGCAAGTGGAAGTTTGTTGGGGATCATTTGTCAGACATTGTCGGTGAAGACCAAACTACTTAGATGTTGGCAAGCGTTTGTGGCCTAGGCACATACGAGGGAACATGCTCGCTTCATTCGTCCAGCCTGCGGTGATTTCATGGACAGCTTTTTGTGTCCGTTTTCTGTTGCAACTTTCACATTGAATGTGTTCAGGAATGTTGCTTTTGAGAGTTAGTTACTCGCCGTTCATTTGCGAGGATGTAGCAATTGAAGGTGACCCCATGCAGATGGAGGATGCGAACTGCTTCCAGTAGTCAGTTGTTTCTATTCTTTTGCTCGAGTTCATCATGTAAGCCAAGCATTGATGTTGCAACTTGCTCGTTTTTTGTAGGACCCTCAACATGTGACAGAGTATGTCAAAGACATCTACGCCCATATGGCATCCATTGAAGGTGCCTTTCAGCCCAGGTCTCACACTGAGCAAGCACGATAGAGAGAGAAAGAGGGAAACACCAAAAATGTGCACCGGTACGCTACCTTGGCAGGTGCCTCAGAGTTTGTTGTTGCAGGCACCAGCTGCAGCAGTGATAGGGCACCACAATCAACCAAGGCCACACTACTTGACAGAGCAGCGGGAGATCAATGCAAAGATGAGGGCCATTCTTGTTGATTGGCTTGTCGAGGCACAAGTTGACAAAGTCTTTATCCCATGAACATTCTTGGCCAGCGTTCTTTTCCAGGTCCACATGAAGTACCGGCTGAGAAGGGAGACCCTGTTTATGGCTGTGAGCCTCATCGACAGATACCTCTCCCTCAGGCATCACTTTGCCACTTTTCACAGCCACGGTGCATAGATGGCAAGCTATGTGGCACGCCAGGCAAGTTGCACGAAAGCGCCTTCAGCTTTGCGGGGTTGCGGCCATGTTCATCGCTGCAAAGTTTGAGGAGCCAAGACCATCCAACAGTGTGCTATCAACACAACTTGTGGGGCTTGCTGTCAGGAGATCTACCCGCCAGAGGTCAAAGATTTTGTTTATATCACGGACAACGCCTACACAAAAGATGACATCTTGAATATGGAGGCCGCCGAGCTGCCTCCAGTTGTTCAAGCTAGTGATTGTGCAACAGAGGTTGCAATGCTTCGGACTCTGAACTTTGAGCTGTGCGGTCCGCGGCCAAGCTGGTCAGAAGGGGAATGCACAATTCTTTGTTGACGTTGGCGATTCGATTCTAGGCCCTACTGCAGCACATTTCCTCGATAGATTTGTTCGGGCCAACCATTGCCCAGAGGCCTGAGAATGTGCCCCAAAAATAAATGAATCAATCAACGTGAATCAACCCTTCTCAGCAAAGCCATCGAAACAGGAGCAATCACATTTGATGCACTATTTGGCAGAGCTTTCCCTTCTCGAAGTACAAATGCTACAGTATACGAGATGAGCTCAGCATGTGCATGTGCTGGTTCTTGAGTTTTCACGGCGCTTGCAATGTAGCACACAGTCGCGTGCATGTGAACCTCAGGCCGTCTCACATTGCAGCAGCTGCAGCACTTCTGAGAGCTGCACTTAGTCGCACCAGGTGTTCCGGTACATTGGTTCATTCATTTGGTGCAAAAACATGCCCAAATGCACAAGCGCAAAGTCAGAATTTGAACAACGAGGCAACAAGCTTCTGAAATTGCCGACATGGCCACAGTCGGGGCCCAATCTATGTCAGGACACTGACAGGTTGCAGTCAGAAGGTTCTGCCCAGATTTTCGAGCGAACCTGAGGTCCATGGCACAATTCAGCAAACATTCAGAGGCGGAAATTAAGGCGGAGTGGAAAATAGGTCACCGGAAGTCCGGAAGCCCCGACTCATTCTCAAGTGGATTCGGTGAAGCTCAGACATGTCCAGGCTTGTGCTCGAGAGTTGTGCGGAATCCTTGAGTCAGTCGGAAGGAGGGGTCTTATGCCGACTGCCGATCGAAGAGAGCTTGTGACATTGTGGAGCGCCTGCACAGGAGCAACCTGCAGGCCATCCGCAAGAAGTACTCTCAGGAAGGTTTCGGCCGGATTGCGTGGGCCTTAAAGAGACTTCCAGTGGCAGTCTGGAGTCCAGTTCGGTTTGTGTTAGGCGAAAGCCAGCTTTGGGACTTCTTGACCGATGACCGTGCTCCATAATTTAACACCCCAGACCATTCCTCAATTTGCACATGCGCAGCCTTTGAAGCGACATGTGTTTGCAGCGTGCAGCAACCGGCAAAGCCGCCCGTTCATGCACGGAGAGTGCCATACGTAAAGTCCTGATCCTGAAAAGGCTCAAGAATCTCCAATTAGATGTTCAGATCTCAAAGATCTGTAGGTCCTGTTTCTCATGTTCACAATTCAGTGCAGTTTAGACAGAGCAGCGTTTGCTGCTTGAGGGAGGGAGTTTGTCGAGCATGTTACAAACTTTGAAGCCTTCGCCGTTGCAGCGCATCCCAGATGGCAAGCGTCTCTAGCGGCAACCTCCCAAGGATCCTGGTGGGGTCTTGCTCCGAATTCAATTTTGAACACGTTTGCACTCGGCAGTGTAGTTTGTGAAGGCCAAGTGGCTAACACAATAATTCCGGACCATGCTTTCAGCCAAGTCCTGCACAAATCAGAAAAAATAGGATGTGACCTTCCTAAATGCAAGAAGATGTTTTTGCATTTGGCCGCACATGTGCCATTTGGCATGATAGGCACGCGGTCGTTTAGGTTCTATTTGGCCGCAAACCTTGACCACATTGACGCGTTGATTGAAAATTCTAGACTCTAGACAGGCATGGTCAAGAGACTCGTCCAACAAGGCAATGTATACTTTTTCTATGCAGTCACATAGTCTTGAAAAAGCACCTGTTGCTTTGAATGCTTGACCGGGTGTCACAGAGTTATGCCCTGTCCAGCTTGTGGCGAGGCAGGTTTGTAGCTTCACTTGGCAAAGTCTGACCCTTTTTCCCATGCCATATCCCTGTCCAAGGACCCAAGCGGGACAGAATGGAAATGGGACCCGCTCAGGCCAGACAAGCATCCTTAGGCCTCAAAGTACGTCCAGTCCTGCTGCGATCGTACCCCTGCCAACCTAGAAACATATCCTCAAGAAAGTGCGACAGAAAAGTTGCAATTGACTGACAAAGCGACAAAAGCCACTAGCTGCCGTGCCGTCGTTGTGATGTTTGATGTCATGATGTCTAAGGGTGCCCAGCTAATGATATCACCTACATTCCTCTTGCATGTCTCGGGTTTGCTTGGCTGGTCATGCGACTCGAAACCTTTCTTCGAGGTGCTTTAAGTGTTTATGCCTTTACAGATTGATGGCCCTAATCAGCCTTTCAATGCCTATCATAGGTTGCAATTGCTTCGAGGTGGGAACTCGACCCACCCTGCACAGAGGCCATCTAGAATCTAGATGCCACCTGTTGTAGTCCCACTGCTGTGCCACATCATAAGCACAGGCTGAGTGGCGATATTTGGCAGACTCGACGGGAGCGCCTGAAGTGATGACGACTCAGCAGTCTGCAACTTTAAAATTCCTCGAACCTGTCTTGTGTTGCTTCGCCTCTTGAGAATTGGGGCTCAGGTGTGCCTACATGAAGAAAGTATGCCGCGGGTGCTACAACTCAAGGCTTCTCATAATGGCGAAGGTCCAGACAAGGCACTGTGCACTCAATCCAGTGAGCATCTCTTGCGGAACAGTTGTCAGGATAAGAGCCAAGGGAGGACTTGAGGAACTGGATCCATCAATGAAGATGCGAAAGGAGTGCACAACTGCCTTTGCTTAATGTGGAAAAGGCATCCTTTGTTTCCCCCCGATGCCCAAGGAGTATGAAGCTGCTCACGCCAACGATTTGCTCAAGAACCGGGCAGCGGGATCCTAATTTTGACCCAATGTCACCCAGCAGGGCCTTTTGCACGCCGGATTCCGAACTTTGCGCTCTTAATCGCAGACAAGGCAAAGATCCATGGATTGCAGCAAGCTCAGTCCACCGGAGAATGCTTTGATGTTTTGTGTTCAAATGTTTCCTCGGGGTTCGGAACATGAAAGTACCAGGCAAAGTGCAGACCACTTCAACGGACAAGTTTGCAGGCCGTGGTGTTTCGCGTTTTGTTCACTCGGACCATGTTTTTAGCATGGTTTAGCTTCTGTGGCTGTTTCAGGCTAATCGTTAAGGACTCCGAAAGTGGGCGCTGGACAGTTGAATTTGTACGCGCTGCGGTTTCGTCGGGTGTGCGTCAAACACCTTTGTAATTTCTTCCTGAGGTCAATGGTGAGAAAAAGGCCATCAGAGAAAGCAATTTGCATGCCTCTCAGGCACGAAGTGGAAAGTGAGTCAAGTGCAAGGGTTTGCGAGTTTGCGACTCTGTGCCTTTCCAGGATGTCGATATGGAATGGGAAGCCGCGCGTGTCGAGCAGCTTCCCTTAGTCAAAGCGCACACCAGAAGCATGTTGAGCAGGCATGCTGACTTTGATGCCTTCACGTGCTGGCAAGGTATGCGGCAAGCAACTCCACATCTGCACAAACTGACGGAAAGCCAGTTGGACGCCCCCTGGGGCCTCATCCCCAAGCAATGCCTAGCAGAGAAGAATGCAGCGGAACCCAAAAGATGAAAATGCTGTTGAATCGCCTGACAAGGACTCACACCAGCTGGGAAAAGGGCTTCCATCCAGGCCAGGGGCAACCATTTGAGCACGGTTGCCGTCAAGTGTAGCAAAAGAATGTAGAGGCTTGAGAGACGAGAAAGTGCCACTTCAGGTGCAGTGGTTTTCCTCCAGAACCTCAAGACGAAGGCTGCGGTAAAGCGAAAAATTTGTTTTTGACCAGTGGCTCAATGCTGGGGAGGAATTAAATGGAAGGAAAGGAAGGCTGGCCGAGTTGAGTTTCTGGGCTTCCTGCACTTACACATTGCACGACTTGAGACATGTTCCGGACTACGGAGGTGCATCAGCTTCAACAAGGAGGCATGTAGTTCTGAAAGGCTGGTGCTGGAGCTTGTGGCAGAGTGTTGCTTGGAAAGGCTGGCAGATACGAAGTTGATTTGGGGGATGAAAGGAAGACGCTCGCCTCATGTTGGAAGCTGCCAAGCCCGGCTGCTCCACGCCTGTTTCGAATCTGAGGCTGCTGAAGATTGAGAACCTCGTTCCGAACCTAGTTCTTTCACTCGTCCGCCCGGGAGAAGGACAAAGTGTGTGCAAGGTGCCAGCCCCGCGGGATGTAAAGCCACCCACTAGACAAACCGCGCAAGAAGAGCCCGACACCAAGCAATCAGCGAAAAGATGACTAGCTTGCAAACAGCTCCCTGAGGAGAGAAAGAGCAGCGGCTGAGCACGTGAGGCCAGAGGCATATTTGGTTGCGTTCGAAGAAGTTGTGAGATCCGCAGGTGGGAGGCTCTGAATGCAAGAGAGAGGCATGCTGAGGAGTACGGTGCGCCGCTGAAATACATGCTCACTTTCCGGTTGGTTACGAATTGTCAAAGTCGAAACATTTGAGTATTCTACGCTAGGTTGGGACGGATGACGCAAAAGGCAATCATTGTCTAAACTACTAACTGATAAATAATGCAGAATGTCAAATTCACCAAGCAGACCATATTTCAGCATTAATAAGCATACAGTGAGAACCAGCAACAACTGCACCGACGCTGTGGAAAATACTACAGGCCTGTATATGCATGCATGCATGCATGCAGGCATGTACATATGTTGTTTGTTTGAAAATGTTGTACTTGTTTATGCACGTTAGGTGTTACAAGACGCTTGCCAGAGCAAACGATTATCAATAAACCGAGCTGACAACCCCCACTAGCAAACCCTCAGCCAAAAAGTATTGTTTTTACTTGCACCATGTCCACCAAGAATCAGGCTTCGAGTAAAGAAACAGACCACCAATGCAAGATCAAGAAGCAACAAAAGTACCAGCGCGTGACGTGACAAACAAAAGTACAATCGCGCACACTTAGGAGTCTGGCTTGACTAGCATTGCCACATGACACAAGTCACGGAGGTTTAGCTCTCTTTGGCTTTGTCCGGATCGAAGCAGATCAAAATTGGAGCAATGTTGGTGATCAAGAGGCTCAATGGGGCAGAAAGGTTCCCAGCTGGGCTCTGAACAGCGTTCAAAACCCTGGGGTGACCGCACCCCTGAGTGACAATGGCACAAGGTCAAGGGATTGCTGAGCCTCAGCACTATTCATCGTTTGGAAGGATCATCATGCATGTCCGTGTCAAAGGCATCAAGAACGGCTGCATTCGTTGTGGAGGCGACATTACCCCTCCAGGCGGAACCTTTCGTAGTGGTAAACAGGGCGCAAGGCAGGGATGGCAGGGAGGCAATAAGGAAGGGGAATAGGGAAATGAATGGGGAAGGGAGAGGAAAGGATATAATTACTGTAGATTAATAAGTTCATCACATTCAAAGGTGCATAATATATTCAGAAGTTCTATATCATATCGATATAAATATGCAAATTCAATCGTAAATTCAAAATTATGTATCTATTCATGACTTGATCGATTGAATTTATTTAAGTTAATATATATATATGTCTTTTATTTATATATATAGAATGATATGTTATTTACAAATAAGTATATTCAATTTTTGTTGTTTTCTACTATTTATAGTAATATTATTGTTTTAATGATGCATTGGGTATGGAAGCCTTGGATTGCGTTGTTTAGCTTGTTAGTTACAATTTTTGAAACGTGTTGGTGCGTATGATGTTGCTTTTTATGCCTTTGTTGCCGCGTTAGGTGTGGATATCGCGGTTTACATAGATGTTTTTTGTTTTCTATAATAGCGTGGTTGGAGACGACTAAACACCTTTGGTAGTTGTTGGCCGCTGGTCGTGCAGTTCTTTATTGCATTATTTGTTTATTCTTTTTAATGGGTTGATGTTATTTATTTGCATGTTTTATTTGTTGGCCTATTTGTAGTTGGCTTTGTACCCAACTACGGCATTTTCCCGTTTTAGGAAGCGATTTATTTCCTTGGACGAAGTCCTCGAAGGGTGGGTTGGGTATAATTAGATAATTCTGGGTATTTTTAAATCGGGCAATTAAATCGGGCAAGGACGACACGGAGCAACCCCTTAAGGACCACCATAGGGATTTTTATTGCGTCATCACCTAAGCCTCTGGCAAGTAACGCATCATCGACAATGCAGCTCGAGGTAGCAATCTGACACCTCTCGGCTCGCCCCAGCTCCTAGGTTATGATCCTCAAAGTGCTTCGGGGCCAAGCATCGTAGAGAGTTGCGAATGCCCATGGGGATGCCATCCAATAGGGTCCGGATCCGTGCTCCCAGGGGCAAGGTCTTATTATCCACTTACGTGAAGCCATATCCAAATACGAGAAGCATATCATCCCTCTTCGTTGTTTTCCGGAATTGAGTAGCTAATCAATTCGCAAAGGAATCTGAATTTGACCTTACCCTGTCCTTTCTGGCAGCCCACGTGGGCTCGTACGCATGGATGTTCAATCTTGTTGCAAGGTGCTTTTTGCAGGAGCAACATGAAGAAATGCCATTCATCGCAAGGTCCGTCAAAAAAGAATTATCAAAATATATCGGTATAAACAGATGTAATAATCGTCGTCCAAGGATCTCCGCAAAAGGAAAATAGTAATTAGAGCTAAATAAAATTAATATAATTAAATTTAATTACCGTTATAGAATTGGTATGTTGGGATCTACCATTATTGATTTATATTTATGGGTAATATAATGTAATATATTTAATCATGTTATTTATATAGAAATTAATTTTGTATATTTTAAATGTATATTTTAATTAATTTTAAATTATATATTAAATAAATTATTGATTAATAATATGTTTATTAATTGATATATTGATTCTATTAATTGAAATAGTATTAGTATTCTTATATATTTTTTTGTGATTGAATTAATAATTATTGTATTTAATTTATATTAATTAATGAATTAAAGAAAATTATTTATATTGATTAAAGAGGAATGTGTTTTTTTATTGTTTGTTTTAATAATTACGAAAACGCGTTTAGAAGGAGTTTAGCGGACGTTGTTATTTACGATATATAGTGAGGTTTAAAATTGTAAGGTTTAATGAATTGATATAAAAAAAATACTTAAAAGAATAAGTTTTGTTGATTTTTTATTTTTATTGTTTAATAATTTTATTTTTTCGTAAAGGAATTGATATTTTAATTATAAATTAAAACGTCTAAAGTGCGGGGTGGGCCTCTTTGTAAAATGAATTGAAAGAGGTTATTCGAATTTATTTTTCGTCTTTATAAGAAAATATATTAAATATTTAGAAAATTTAATATGAAAATCGCAATTTTTTTTGTATTCGGTTGATTTGGCCAATAATATTGGGTATAAAAATATTATATTATTATCGTTTTTTACATTTTTCTTGATTTTTTAATACCTCTCATTTTTGATTTTATTATTTTATAATGTCTTCCTTCGCAAAATTGAAATTAAAAGAAATTATTCGATTTTTCCTTCGTCTTTGAAAGTAAATATTTTAAATGCCTAGAAAATAGAATAATTATTTTTAGTATTCGATTGATTTAATTAATAATTTAATAATATTTTGCGTTTACGGAATAAAAATGTTGTATTATTGTTTTGCTTTGTTTTCATCTTTATTGTCTTTAAATATTTCTATTTAGGATTTTGAAAATTACTATATTTATATGTTAATTCCTTTAGGGAATATAATATATTATATGCAATGAAAATATTATTTAATATAAGGGACGAATGATTATATTATATTTATGATTAATATTTATTTATTTAATGATAAATAAGTTATTATATATTGTTGTGTTCGAAAAACAAATAATGAAATTAATTGATTGGATATTTATTTATTAAGGAATTTTTGTTAGATTTTTTTCTTATTAATTAATGCGATTATTGAAAATATTCATTTCATATTATATCTGATATAGATCTTCCATCTGCCAAGAGAGGTCGTCCTATTGGTGTTGATATCATTGCCCATCGATTTCGTGCCACGACGACCGAGATTCCGGTTCCTATTCAAGAGTATGAATGTCCGTTGTGTTTTGAGCACCTGGGACGTAAAGTTGTTGTTAGCCATCTTCGTAACGTATATCAAATTGACAAACCCAGCTTATTTCCCTTTCGACCAAACCTGGATATATTTCCTGGACATTTAAGCTGTATGCATTGTAAAGCCAGCTTCACCAGGGCTTTCGCCCTAAAGAATCATTTTTACAGAGGCACATGCCCGGTCCTTTTGATCAATTGGGTTAGGGATGCATATTATGGTCCCAAGGTCGACATTGTCCCATCCTAAAGCCTGCAACATGACCCGCCTCCGCTGCCGACTCAGGGCATCCATCAGACTTGGACCTGCGGCCTCCTGCTCGGAACTGATAGCCATTCGACCATGGCCTTGAGGCATCATGTGCATGAACCAATCGATAAATGCATCCAATTTCGACCTGAAGCCGCCTGCTTTGGTACACGTTTATCATGCGGTGGACAATTCACTTTCCGGACTTGCCTCAGGTTGCATTGCACATGGGCACAGCGCCCTACATTATTCGTTGGATTGTGGAATCGCTCCCCTTGCATTGGGCCTGGAACTCAGATAGTCCTGACTCTTGGTGGGATCCTCGCACGATAGACTTGGACACAGACCCACATGATCAAGTCAGTTGGTTTTGTATAGCAATCCTTGAATTCGAGCATGCCCTGGCCAGAGATTTTGTCCTGTCACCAGCCGCTTTCGATCATGGAGGACAATATGTCGATGGACGACATGTCATTTGCCGACCTTCTGGATACATGTCAGGCTCATCTCAAGTGCCCTCGTACAGAGGTGGAATCATCGCAAGGCAAAGCAGTTGGGAAAGGCAGATCGAACCACCGATCAGACTCCTCAACCACCTCTTCGAGGCACGAAGGGGATTCAGAGCTCTTGATGATGTTGGCCAAGCTGACCTTGCGCCAAGAGGATATGCTCAATCAGATGGCCTTGGACCGCAGCTTCTTATTGTTTCTCCAGGCCGACAAAGGTTCGATCCTCCCGGATATGATCCTAGCAGCCAAGGAATGGCATCATCAAAGATAAAATACAGGAGTCACCTGCTCTCTCCGCCAGGTCAATTTCCTCAAAGTGGTCGAACTCCTGATCCAAAGATTGACGAAGCTGAAGTACGACAACCAGGACGATCCCCTGGTGCAAGCTCTCAGACAGAAGGGCATCCTGACTCCAGAGAATGCCTGGAATTACCTGTCATGGGACTCGGCGGCCAAATGCCTACGACTTACAAAACAACAGCCACTA